CTATTGTTTTTGATTTATTAGCATTTCCAATTACAAAAGAAAAAAGCAGTATCGATGAACTATATATGTATAGCAATTGAATGTTTGCTTGAAAATGGAATCAATTATAACAATGAGATAAAAGCTTGAAGTGAACAAGTACCTACCTGGGAGATCACATCAAACCATAGAATTAATGTATTACAATGGTAAAAAATCTAACTAATAAGAATTGGTTAAAATAATGAATAATAGCAGAGGTCAACTGTTTATTCAATCCAAACACCCCCCCCCCAAAAAAATCAAAAAATAAAAAACGTTTTGATGTATACAACCTTAACTTTTATTTTCATCTTTTTCGTTTTCGTGGTATAGTGAGAATGGTGAAATATGAGAGAAATTTTAGCAAATATTTGGGTCAAAATTCACCTTTTGAATAAGTCAATTATAATATCAAATATAATATTGAATAAAAACAACAAATAATTAAATTTAATTGAATGATAACATTGAAACTTGCAACTTTCACTGAAGTCTCAATCCGGATGACTTTATTGGTAGACCCACCAACATTTATGCTGTGTTTGGTTGAGAGATTTGGAAAGGGAAAGGGAAAAGGTGTGTGAAACTAAGTGAAATGTAGGTATATTTTATTTACATTTCACCTAACTTTTCCCTTTTCCTTTCCAAATCCCTCCTCAAATCCCTAACCAAACACAGCGTTAGAAAGTGTGATAAAGTTTCCAAATGAAAAAGAAAGTAAAACTAGTGGCAACTTGACTTAAGTGAAGATCTTATGCTTAATGGAAGCAATTACAAGTAGAACACGCTTGACAACTATAAGATCCTCACCCAAAAACCATTCTTTGGAACATTGTTATGACAAGATTTGTCTGCAATGGGATGCCCAATGAAGCCATGTTTTCCAATTTTCGAATAAAAGAAAACCAGAAATACCAAATGTGATTTCTGTACTTACTTCTTTCCCAAAACTATATTTCAATCCAAATGGTCGAAAAGAGAGACAGATATTAGGGGAAGAGAGAGAGAGAGAGAGAGAGAGAGAGAGAGAGACAGACAGACAGACAGAGAGAAGGCAATATAAAGAGGATATGCCTGGGGTAATGCTCCAATAGTGGATCGACGGTTGTGCTCGATGGTGGTGATGCTCCTTACCCGATAGCAATGGAAACAAACCGACAGAGATTCAATATCAGGAGGAGGGCAACTGGCGTGAGAGAGAGAGAGAGAGAGAGAGAGAGAGAGAGAGAGAGAGAGAGAATCAGAAGAGAGCAGATGCGAGAGAGAGAGAGAGAGAGAGAGAGAGAGGGAGATACAGACTTTTTTAAGCCCTAACTCATTTTAAGTGTGTTTGAAATCCCTTCAAAATCCCTCTAGAGTTCCTCACCAAAATAATTTAAAAATCCCTCCAAAATTTGGAGTCCTACCTCCAAAACTTTTAATTACAATTGCCTGACTAAAAACTTTAGTCTGTAAAAGTTAGCTAAAGGCGACTAAATTTTTTTTAGTAAATAAATATTGCCGACTAAATAATTGTAGTCACCCAAAATAAATATTTACCAACCAAATATTTGGTCGCCAAAGAGAAAAGTAAAATTATGGTATTTGGTTGGCGACTAAATTATTTAGTATGCAAAAATTCTTATAACATGACTAAAAGTTGTTTGGTCACTAAAAATAAATTTTTACCGACCAATTGTTTGGTTGCCAAAGAAAAAAAGTAAAAATTATGCTATTTTGTGCTTGGTGTATGGCTTATGTATCTTAGCTGAGATACAGAGAAATAATAATAATAATAATAATAATAATAATAATAATAATAATAAAGCATAAACTCAAATTGGGTGGTAAGTGTTCCCACAAAAAAAATTGAGTATTATTGCTGACCAAACGTGTTTTGGTCATCAAAAATGTATATTTGCCGACCAAATGAAGTAGTCACCAAAGATTAAAAATAGGATTATACTAGATATTTGGCGACTAAATTTCTTTTAGTCGGCAAAAGTTAGTATATGACGACTAAAATTTATTTAATCACTGAAAATAAATTTTTGTTTTCCATTCGGCAACCAAATAAATTTAGTAGCGAAAAGTAACTATACAACGACTAAAATATTTATTTAGTCGCTAAAATTGAATTTTTGCCGACCAAACTTTTGGTTGCCAAAGATAAAAAGTAAATTTATGTTTTTCATTCGGCAACTAAATAATTTTAGTAGCTAAAACTAACTATACAGCGACCATATTTTTTAGTAGCCAATTGTGGCATTTTCAGCAACTAAAAATTATTTTAGTCACCAATTGTGACATTTTTAGCAACTAAATTTTTTTTAGGGGCCAATAATCAATATGCCACGACCAAAAAAATTAGTAGCTAAATCTTATACTTTTTTGCTAATTAATACAATTTTTGGTCGCCAATTCCACAACTTTTGGCCACTAAATTTTTTTTAGTCGCCAAATTTAGTCGCCAAAAGTATAATTTCCTGTAGTGTCTTCTTTCAACTCTTGCTTTTCCGAGCCTGCAATGTCAAATATTTGAATCCTCGACTCTAATTCAGAATTTCAGTTTAGGCTGCAAGCAAGCATTGCACTGAGAAAACAATGGAAGAAGAATGTCTAGATGCAGTCCTACGAGACTATGACCATTGCATGCAAAAATCTTTAATTGTAGACGGGTTGGTGGAAGGCAAAGCATTCATGAATGTGTGGTCTAGGAAAATTTGTCAAAGTTAAGCACCTGCAAAGAGAAAAATAAAAATAAAAATAAAACAAAATCAAGCGTCTAAAACATTATGCATATGGATACACAAGTAGAATTGATCATATGAATGTTAGTGACGAAGTTTCGTTATCCTTAAATAATGATTTCCCACTTAGTGTTGCCTAGAATGCAAATTCAAGGTGAAGAAACTTAATTAAATGACTAACATCCCACATAAAATATGCCACATAAAGTTGCTACATACAAATTCAGGGAAAATAGAAGTTGGTACTTTCGGATAAAAAACCATTACCTATTAATTTTAAAAGGCAATACACAATTACAACAAACTCAGCACAGAAAATCAAGAATGTTTTAGTAGGCTTACCCCAGCAATTTCCATACTCAAATGCGGATGGGCCAACTACATTAATTTTGGCATTGCATCTCCAAAGTAATGTTTGTCATTAAGTCACTGAATGTTGATAGTTGTCCACAATGTTTAGATCAACAAAATAAAATAGAACATCAAGACATGGTTTTCTTAATTTTTGGGCCATTATGAAAAATTAGCTACAGCATAAATTTGACTTCAAGTTTAAAAAGCCTCAAGAGACTTCATACAGGAAAGGTTTGCAACACTTTTAACATTATGCAACAACTGCATTATATATGTCTTTATGAGATCATACATTGTTATGAAAATTAAAATCAACAATATGAATCGCCCCAAATATCAGACTACGCTGTCAAAATCCAATCACTTAAAGCAAACAAGCCTCACATGGACCTTTGATGCGTTATTAACAACAAAATAAGTATAATAGTTTTGATTCAAGAAATGAAAAATCTATTTTGTTGTCTGAAACAATCACTACAAGAAAAAGCATTTTTGGCGACTAAAACTTCATTTTTCGTCGCTGAAAGTAGTAGAATTGGCGACTAAAATGGAATTAGTCGCCAAAATTGAACACTTTTGCCGACTAAAAGACTTTAGTCGCCGAATACAGCGGTTTTAGCGACTAAAAGGCAGTTTAGTCACCGAATGTAGGGGTTTTAGCGACTAAAGGTTGTTTAGTAGCCAAAAGTGACGGTTTTTGGCAACTAAAATAATTTAGTAGCCAAAAGTGATGGTTTTGGCGACTAAAAAACATTTTCATCGCCGATTATAGGTGTTTAGCCGACTAAAAACAGATTGGTCGCTGAAAATGAAGCTTTTTGGCTACAAAAAAAAATTAGTAGCTAAAAACAGTCAATTGGCGACTAAAATTCAGTTTAGTAGCCAAAAGGGGACGTTTTTGGCGACTAAAAACAGATTTAGTGGCCAAAACTGCTTATTTTTAATTTGAACTTATTTTTTTAGCGACAAAAAATTAATTAGTAGCCCAAAATAATAGAATTGGCGACTAAATAATGGATTTAGTCGCCAAAAGTGGCCTAAATTTTTTTTAATAAATAATTTATTTTTTACATAAATTATATTGAATAAAAATAATTATATTTATATATATAGTTTTGTATTAATACCGGTCAATATACTATATAAATAATATATATTGCATATATATTCATGTGATGTTGAAGTGGCATAGTGGAGGGAGTGTGTTGCTAAAGTGTTGGCGGTTCGAATGTGGGAGAGGTTGGCGGTTCGAATCTCAGAAAAAGCAAAGAAATTGGTTTTTATTTTTTTATTTTTTTCACAGAAGGACCTTTGGCGACGAAAATTTTAGTTGCCAAAAGTGTTTATTTTTGGCGACTAAACCGTTTAGTCGGCGATTCATGGACTATTGGCGACTAAAAGATTAGTCGCCAAATGTGTGATTTGTAAATCACTATTGGCGACTAAAAAGTTGGTCGCTAAAGAGCTATTTTTTGCCGACTAAAAAAATTTTAGTCGCCAATACCTCCGGCGACCATATATATGCGACAAAAGGGGCGACTAAAAAAATTAGTCGCTGAAAGTAAAAACTCGACTTTCGGCGACTAAAAACGGACTTTTGGCGACTAAAAATTTAGTCGCCAAAAATGCTTTTTCTTGTAGTGAATCTAAATGAAACAACACCAACTCTTCTAAGAGTTACTCTAAGCCATACTCTTCATACTCCTCCTCTTCAAGCTGAAAGTATTCCTCTTCAAGCTCTAGCAACTCTAAGCCATACTCTTCATGTTCCTCCTCTTCAAGCTGAAACTATTCCTCTTCAAGCTCTAGCTCTTCTAGTTCTGACACCAACTCTTTTGAGACCGACTCCAAACCTAGACCAAACATTTCATATTCTTCCTCTTTAAGCTCTGAGAATTACCCAAAACCATTCCTTATCCTTTTCCGTTTTCCAACTGAGCCTGAAAGGTATCTTTCAAAATATGTTGCTTCCCCACTCAGCTCTTCCTCTTCCCAATTGTAATCAGGTGATGTCACCAAACTTTCCTCATACATAATTGCATTGAAATCGTAATTATCAGTAGCCATTAGAATATCCCTATTTGAATTGTCAGTAGGATTGTAAGCCGTTACACATCCTTCATCCACCCCTACGCAGAGGTTCATTATAACTTCATTATTCTTTGTAGAACACAATGGCACAAACCAATGATAAGAATAAAATACACCGGCCAAGTTTGATATCGTGAACATAACAGTCCAAGAGCTTTTCATACCATATTCCTTCATTGCCAATACCTCAACATTGCCTTCAAAGTTTCTAGGATTGTCGAAGCAAGTCATACAAAGACATCCATCTAGAGCTCTCAAACCAAGTATAATATCTCCATCTCCATTTTCATCCTTAGGCTGTGGCATTGGTACCTTCTTGAATTTATCGCTCTGTGGATCAAAGGAAAGGATTTGATGGGTTGAGAGGAAGTGACCCCAACTTTTCTTAGAGGCCAACCAGTGTAGATGTTCATTCAATACAGGCCCTGGTTTCACAGTACGAACGCTGTAAGGGAATTGGATATATGTCCAAAGTTTGCTCCGAAAACTACCAATTACCATGAATTCAGTGCCATAATCTGGACTCTCATGAGCAAGCGCCATTACAGCCTTGTACTCATTCCTCGAGGAATCAAAACAAAGCCCAGAAACAACATTATAGCCAGTGTCACCCACACGGTGATAAGCCAGGACTTTCTTCGAACACCTGGTGAGCGGGTTCCACAAGAACAAATCAGATTCAATCCGAAAAAGTAACAACCCATCACACGAACCCATGATTGCAATGTCAGCAAGCAAAGGTAAAAATTTCTTCCATGGCCTACGAACGCTTTTAACACGGCATTGTTGATCAATCGATTGAAAAGAAAATTTCAAGTGAGCTTTATAGACAAGAATTTTGGGTCGTCGAGCAGTTTTCGCATGATCTTGGATCAAAGAACGCCATTGCTTGGAAACGCAGAATGATCGGACGAGAGATTTGATGGGTAATCTTAAGAGTATGTCGATAAGGATTTCTTGTGGTAAATCGTTCAGTTCTGTTTTTGCTCTGTTCTCTTTCTTTATCCGTATTCTCTTTGTTGTTGTTGTTGTTGTTGTTCTTCTTCTTCTTCTTCTTCGTTCCTTTTTGTCTCTTGAATCTCTTTGGAAATCTAGGGTTTGCATTTTTTCTAGGGTTTTTTTTCTTCTTCTTCTGTGAGACTGTCACTCTTTCAGCTGTATATGCATATTGTCAAGATTGAGTGGACAACACGTTTTGAATTGTATGGTTTGAGATTCGGGATTTGTTAGAGATTAGCATATCACCTATGCATATAGGATAAAATAATGAATAATGGTACATATATCAATTAGTGTATTAATTGATGATATCATATAATTTAAGAGGTTTTTGATATTTGTAATGTGATTAATGAATGGATTCAAATAATGTCATAACTAGTGTTGGTACAGTAGTTAGTATACTAATTGGTACATATAGCACCACCGTAAAATAATATATTATTTATTAAAAATATGATAATTATATCTAATTCTTTCATATTTTGTCTCTTGTAAATAAAATTTTATATATAAGTTTGAGGGTTTTGTTTTAAGTATTTTTTTACTATAATTAGGGATAGCCATTTTAATCCGATTGGCGAGGGCCCGTATAGCGATCCCGGGTTTACCCTTGTTGTACAGTAATCCGGACATGTGTCCGTGGATGTTGGTAGTTGGTTATTATCTTGTTTACATCCTTTTTACTTCGTATTTGAGTTATAGGATGTGTTGGGAAGGCTTGTTACAGGTTGGTTAGGCCTTGGTTTCAAATTCCTTGTTGTTGAGTTTTTAGGCGGTCCGCTCGAGCGGGTCTTCTTGCGCTCGAGCGGAGATTGCACACTTTCAGTATTTTGGTGTTCCTGCAAAACTTCCGCAGGTGTGATTTTTACGCTAGAGCGGGTTTGTTTACGCTCGAGCGGTGGCGCTCAAGCGGGTCGGTTGGCGCTCGAGCGGGTAGTACCTTCTGGGTGTAAGTTCTGGGAGGTGGGAATCTGCGCTCGAGCGGACTGGTTTTCGCGCTCGAGCGGAAGTGCTTTATTCTTGTGTCTTGGCGCTCGAGCGGGCCTTATTGCGCTCGAGCGTGTCCAGAGTTTTGTTCTTGGCGCTCGAGCGTCGTGTTCTCCGCTCGAGCGGGTCATACGTATATGAGTTATCCGCAGGGTGATTTTAAATCACTTTTTACACTTCTTTCTCTCTCCTACTTTTCCTGAAAGCTATTTTGAGAGCTCCTCTCTCTAAAACCTTGCCTTCTCTCTAGATTTTGATCTAGCTAGGGTGAGTTCCTTACCTTTAGCCTTTACAAAAGAGTTGTTGATCGTCGAGGGCTACATTCTAATCTGAAAATTTCGGGATTTGGAGCACGTTGGGTTTTGTCGTCTTCTCCTTTGGGGCTCCGGATTTGAGGTAGGGATATCCTACTCATCTCTATGGATTTTGTCTTTAAATTTTAGTATTTTGAGATGTTGGGGTTGGTTTGGTAATTTGTGAAAGTTTGGGGCTTTTGTGTTATTTTACAAAAGTTGAGGTTTTATTTATAATAAACCTAGATGCATGTTTAGCATGGAGAAATGAAATGGAAATGTTGAGATTGGGAATGTAAAGGGTTAAAGGGTGTAGTTGAATTATTTATCACTCACCGGAATGAAATGTTGATTAAATATCCATTGTGCATTTATTTTCTGTTTAGAGATGACTGCTTTGGGCTATCGGTGGAGGATAGTCGTGATTGTTGTAGACAATGCATGATGATTAGGCAAACTAAAACTAATCAATGGAATGTGTCATGGAATTTGACGGTTGATAGAATACATTAACTGTATGTATTGAGTGATTGTATATAGAACCAATGTGTTTGTATACATTATGTGTAGAGGAGGAGATGGGGGATGTACCCCGCGGTTTAGGGGAAGATGGGGGATGTACCTCTAAACCGGATAGTATTGGGAGAAGATAGGGGATGAACTTCGTAGATACAGCTCATATGTTTGTCTAGAGAAGTGAAGATAAAGCTCATATGCTTATCTTTGTAAAGTGTGGATACAGCTTATATGCTTGTCTGTGAATGTGGGATATAATTTTTATACATATCTGTTGAAATGATGATAGAGCTAATATGCTTATCTGTTGAAAAAGGGAAAATGAAAAGTAACTTGGACTCTTAAGTCGTATGGCATAAAATATGATTTATGTGGATGTATTAGTGTTGGCCATCTATCAATTGCTAATCTTTTAGTCATTGTTCATGGTTGGTTTAGTGTATTTCTACTGGGCTGTGGCTCACCCTATATGGGAATATCATTTTCAGGTACAGGTAGCATGCCACCTCCAAGGACATAGCTTGGGAGGCTTGAGGCGGGTACTCTTTTTGTCGTTTTACTTTTGATGTATTACATGTAAATTCAAGCCAAGGGCTTAATGTGTATGAGTTAGTACTCTTTTGTTGTAACCAAGTGTTGACTTGGAAAGCTGTAAGCCCATAGGGCATTTGCTTTTGTTGTTAACATGTAATACTTTTGTAATGAAACTCTGATAAATAGAAGAAGGTGGAACTTTTACATATTAATGCATATCTTTATTGATGGGTTTAATGTTGTTATTTTGAGGGCGTTACAGCCCGCCCATACCTGCTTGAATGGGGCAGATTTTACCCACCCCAACACTTATGTGGGGGCGGGAGTGGATTATCTTTTAATCACCCGCAACGGAATAGGGCGGAGGCAGGTATGACTTCGTTTATGACTTCGTTTAAATAATATATATATATATATATATATAAGAAAACAATATTAAAAGTTTATGACTTTGTTTAAATATAAATAAATAATAATCTTAAAATCTCACTGTTTATATATATGAAAATAAAAAAAAATTATTTACTCTGCCAAGAATTTAAATGGTTCTTAATTTTTTTAACTATTTGAAATGTGATCGGATATCTGCGGGTATCCGTGGGGTGGGGGTATTGTTGAAAAATTCCACCCATAGCAGGGGTGGGGCAGGGGTGGAGTTTGTCAGCGGGGGACGGGAAATGGTAAACCTGTCCTGAACTCACCCCATGGCCATCCCTAACTATAAAATATAGTATAGATAGATTAAAATTGTTGTACTGACAATTAATAATTCAAATTATGCGTTGTTATAAAAAAAATGACATAATTCTAATATTTCACTATGTTAGAATAAAAATATATGAATTTAAAAAAATTGTCATATTGGTTTTTGAAAGGAAAATAATTAAATTTTTTTTTTAAAATTTAATGAGTAAGAAAGAATCATCGTAACATGTACAACTGCTAAAGTCACGGTTAAACCAGCAAATCATTCAAACCAAAAATTGTTTAGCTTAATCAGTTAAGTCAAAAGACCAACAAGTTTACACAAAAATTAATTAATTAAAACTTTTAAATTTTATTTTATTAAAATTTAAACTGTCACTAAATATGTAAAACAATCTATTAATTTAAATTTAAAATCGACACTATATAAATTTAAAAGGATTTTTTTTATTGATAAATCCATTTTGGAGGTGTTCTAACCCAACAAGTCCATTAAGGAAAATTATAACCTAATTAGTCTCATGTATTTATACTTTTATTCCACGAGATCATTTTTTCCTGATTTATATTGTTTGTTGGACTATTATATCCTTATGTCTATTGTTGATATATATTATATGGAAAAAAGATATACACATTTCTTCTTTGTTACTGCCTTTATTTTGGTAGTTACCATTATTCACATTTTTTTTTGGATCAGTTTTATTCACATTTGTGGTATTGTTCAATTGTACTAGGGTTTCGAAACGCTCTATTTGGTAGGGTTTAGAAACTTTAGTTTACACATGGTAGTAAAATTATTATGTTCCTCCATTGTTGCGGTGAAATTTTGTGTTCATCTATTGTTACTTTGTGTTTGAAGTTCTGTGTTCGTCCATTGTTGCTCTGTGTTCAAAACTCTATATTTCTCCATTGTTGTAAGTCAAAGCTCTGTTTATGTCCAGTCAATTTTGTTACAAATATATTATTCAAAGGTGGGTTTGGTTTGATTTGGATTGGTGGAATAGTAAAATTGCATAGATTGTTAATGATAAAGATGATGATAAAGATGAGGATGTGGGTGATATTTGTTTTTATTTTTAGAGTGATTGAGTTTTTTTTTGGATTTCTAATTCTATTGCTGCCATTGTTTTTATTTTTATTTTTATTTTTTTATCAATCAATGTAAATGTTCACATTTCACATTGTTTGAAAAGTCTGAGAAATAAGTGTTGGAATACAGATATGGACATAATTATATATTTTGTAGGATGTAAATGTTCACATATCATTGGTTATTTGTTTCTATACTTATTGTTTTAATGATCATTTTTTGTTACAATTAAACAATTGAAATAGTCTTTTATTTTTTCCTTTCAATTTTGTTTCATATTGTAGCGTGAACTTTTACATCGGTATGAATTTAGTTTTTCTAAGGTTGGTTGTATATTAATTGTAAACATTCACATTGTATTTTGGGATGAGTTTTTTTTTTGAAGTTTTTTTGAAAGTTAGTTGTATTTTTTTTTTTACTATGCTTGTTAGTTGAACAATCATTTTTGTTACCATTGACCAATCGAAATAGTCCATTTTCACTTTTTTTTTTCAATTTTATTTTATGTTTTCACGTTATAATGTGAATGTTCACATTTGTATGAGTTTATTTTTTTTAAAACTAATTATCTATTAATTATAAATTGT